ATTTTTATATGTAGATTTAAAACGAGAGCCTCCCGTGTTTAAGTTGTCCCTTGTAGCCTTGTAGGAAACAGCCCGGCGAGGGGGGTCTCCCGCCCGCACGGTGCTTTCGGGCGGGGGTCGGGCCCCGACGGGGCCCCCCCGGCAGCCCCCGGCCCTGCCCCGGCGCGGTTCGCCGTTCAGACCCGTGAAACGAAACGAAACGAAACAAAAAAGGGTATTTGGGGTTATTTATTATGGAAAACTTAAACACTCTTTAATGTTTCTTTTACGATAAGCAGAGATTATTTAAATAAATTATTGTTTCCATGGTGCCCGCGCTGAGTTTCTTTGGGGACGGGGGAGGTCGGGGCCGGCGGTGCTCACCTGGGGGGAGCCGCCTCTCCTGCTCGCCACCGCGACGTTGCCGCAAGCCGGCAGCCTCCCCCCTTCTCCCCCCCGTCCTTTCCCGTCTACAATAAAGTCTCGCCCCTGCCAGTCTTCGCGGCGAGGCCATGAATCACTCAGCGCTGCCTCCGGCAGCCCAGACCCGGCCCTCCCCCCTGCCTGCTGGCGCCAGGGACATTTCGCCCGGGACTGGCTCCTGCCGTCTCACCGCCTCCCAGACGTGCCGGAGGGGTTTGGGGCACGGCCCCGGAGTAATTTCTCTCTTCTGCCTCCCCGTCGTTTGTACCCAGGCCGGAGGCACCCCCGGCTACCCCCTTGCAGGGGCTGCCCCCTCCGAGCCGCCCCCCCGCGGGATGCCGAGTCCGCGGAGGTGCCGCTGGGAGCGGAGAGGGGCGAAAGGCGGCTGCTGCCGGCCCCCGTTGCCCCCCGTTGCCCCCCTTGCCCCCGCTCCCCGCCAGGCCGGGTGCTCGCCCGGGACCCTCCGGCAGAAGGGGGGACGGCAGGGGGGCGTCCGGGGGGCGGCTTGTGCCTGAGAGCCACGGGGAGAGCCCGGGGGAAGGGGTGGGGGCAGAAGGCGAAGGAGGAGTGCGGCAAGGAGAAGGAAGGGGGGGAAGGACGGGAGAGGAGGCTGCAGGGGAGGAGGGAGCGGGAGAGACAAAGGCGAAGCCGCCCCGGGGAGCGGCGGGGACACCGGCCCCGAGCGGCGGGGGGCGAAGCGGCGGGGGCCGGGCGCGGAGCGGAGCGGGGCTGGGAGGGGAGGCGGCGGGGGCCGCCTCCGGACACACGGACACGCGTGGCGGGGGGGGACGGATGCCGGGACACCCCTCCGGCAGGTGACGGGTTTTGCTGACACCCCGCGTCCGAGCTGCGGGAGGAAAGCAGGAGCGCGGGGCAGAGCCGGGACGGGGACCCCCCGCCCCGTCGCTTTTCCAGACGCTTCTGGTTACCGAAAGAAGTTCCCCGAGACCCCCCCCATCCCCTCCCTGCCCCTGCCGACCCCCTCGCCCGGCTGCAGCCCGGTGCGGCGGCGCCGAGCCTGTCTCGGCCCCGTGGGGTCGGGCGCGGTGCCCGCAGCTGCGGGGGGTCCCTGCTCCGGGACTGCCCCTGGCCGGGGCAGAGCGGGGAGCCCTCCGCGCTTTGCTTCTCCTGCTCGGCGCGTTGCTTTTTGCTGATGATCCGGCGGCACTTGGTTGCGGCCCGCCGGCAGCGGCTCCCCGGGCCGGCTGTGCGGGAGCCGTCGGGGCACCCCGCGGCACCCTCGGGCACCCCTAGGGGACAAGGGGACGCCCAGGCGTGCCCACGGCCACCCGCGCCGCAGTGGCATCCCTCCGTCCATCGCATATACACGTCCACGCACACGTGCGGCGTGAGCTTTCTCCCCTGTGCCCGTGCTCCCGGCTGGGGCAGGCTGCACCGCAAACCGGCCGCCCCCCGACGAGGCGGCTACCTGGGGGCGGGCAGGGGGGAGCCCGGGGCCGCCCCGCCGAGGAGGGCAGCCCAGGGGGCGAGGAGCGCCCCGGCCCCGGGGAGAGCCCGAGGGGGGGGCTCGTCCCGTTCCTCCCCGGCCCCCAGCAGCGATCCCCCCCCGATCGTCCCCCCCCGTCGGGCCGGCCCGGGGGGCTCCGTCCGCTCGCCGCGCACGGGCGGGGCCGGCCGCGCTGTGCCGAGGGGAGGCAATTTGCTCGTTTGCCCCGGTGAAAAGAAAAAGCACGAGAAATTCAATTAAAGCGGCTCTGGCAAAAGGAGTTATTTGAGGCATGAATGTCTCCCCTAAAGCTGTAGCAATCATGTGGCATTAGACACTTCCGGAATCCTATAGCCAACTTGAAAAATCCCAGACCCCTTTTTTCCCTAATTTTTGCTCTGATCTGTAATTTTATCCACATTTGCACTAGTTTGAGCATTCTGGCTCTCCCATCTGAAAGCCTGCAATTACTATATAATTCTTCGCAATTTCACATGTCCTAATATGGACTGTAATTTTTGCGCAAGACAATTTCCTGCTATTTCAAGCATCAACATTGTCAAAGTTGTATGTACATAATAAATGGGAATATCAATGCATAGTTTTTAGCATAACATCTTGACTCCTCGATAATTATATCCGTTCGGAGCCTACGCAGAATTAGCCTGAATTGCATGGTAACTGCTGCTGCTTTAAAATTTTTAAAAATTACTCATAATTTTCCCAAAGATTACCAAGATCTCGAGTGCACAATGTCATCAGCGTAATGAAGAGTAAACATTTATGCTAATAATCTGCAATTTTTTTCATCAGCTATAAAGACAGAGGCTATATAGCAGAAAATTTCAGTCATATTCTGCAAGAGCAGAGCTGCAAAAAGGCTCCTGCGCTCAGAGGCATGTACATCTCTGGGGGATCTCAATCCACATTTGCACTCTCAGGATATTATTATTGTGCTTGGCTTCTTTTTTTTTTTTTTCCCCCATTTTTTTTTTCCCTCCCCAGCCCTCTCTCCCTGTCTCTCACACTCTCTCGCTCCTGTAACTTTCATAGCCAAAAAGCCGCCTTCGGTCCTTCGCTTTGCCGCACGGAGCCGTGCCCCGGGGCGGAAGGTAAGGGCGGCGGCGCCGGCTCCGCTCCCCCGGGGGTCGAGGTGAGTGCGCGGAGCGCGGCGCGGCCGGGAACCACCGGCGGGGCTCGGCCGATGCCTCTGCCCCGCGGACTCGTGCCCGGGGCCGGCCGGAGCGGGGCCGATGCCGGGCCGGGGGCTGCCGCCGGGCCGGGGGCCGCGGTGCCGCTGGGCTCCGCCGGCGGCCGCCCCGCGCCCGGGCGTGCTCGGAGCGGCGGAGGCCGGAGCGGCGCGAGCGGGAGCCCCACGGCCGGGCCGCCGCTCCGGGAGCCGGGGAGGCGGGGGGCGGGCGGGCCGGCGCGGGGGGGGACTGAACTTTTTCCGTGGCGTGCGAGTTGCGCCGGTGGCAGGAGCGGGGCCGGCGGAAGGCGGCGGGGCGAGCGCGGAGCGCGGCGGCGGGGTCGCTTTTTTTTTTCCCTCTGTCAGGCGAAGGGAGCGAGCATCGAATGCAAACGGGTTTGGACTCTGATATTTGATTTTTTTTCTAGTTTCAGGGGCTGCTCTGTGCTCTGCAATTAGATTGACACATGTACAACATCCCCAGCCATTCAAGGGGGTTCGCAGGGACACTCCAAAGGGATTTTTTTTTCTTTCTTTCTTTTTGGGTGGAAGATATTAAAGAGGTATCTGTTGTTTGGCAATTTTGCTAAGTCTGTCTTCATTACTTCAACATTGTGCATTTGCTAATTTGGAAGCCCCTTCCTATTGACAGCTCTGCTCCATACACCTGCAAGCAATTTGCAGAGCTCCAATATAGGAGAATTGCAGAGATGGCAGCTCGCACCTATTTTATTTTTTTTTTTCTTCGCTTTTCTCAATGCACAGCAAATTTGGCTTTCAGTGCGTTATCTCTTTTGTTAATGCAAAAAGATTCCCTGGGCGAAAAAATTGCTCATAATTACCAGAGAGATGGGGAAACTGCATTAGAATAAATAAACCTGAAATTACTGTAATTATGTTGTGTTTGATGGGCTCGGCTTGTAATCAAGAAGAGAATACAGTGAAATGATGCTGACCCTCTTGGGTTTGCAGCTGTACGCGCACTTTGGGGTCTTTTTTTGCAGAAAAGAGTCATTTTGATCATCATTAAGCTGTGTGTAACCTATTTCAGAAGTGTTTGAAAATGAGGGGCACTTTTTTTTCCCAACAAGGGAAAAAATATATCCCAAAATTACATTTTGCCATTTACAGACTCATCCATAAGGTTGTGTTTGCGGGGTGACAATTGTTAAAGGTATAATATTCGAAATCAGGACTTAATCATTGTAATGAGGTATTGTTTCAATATAAGCACCTTTGGATTATTCATAGTTTAATTAATATCCTCATTATGAAAATCTTCGAATCAGATATTTGATGAACTACTTGTCAGCAACAAGGCAGAATTAATTAGGCCTGTATTGAGATTAACATTTTCAAATGTACAATTATAATAGACTCTAACTCAAGACCGCCTCGCCGAGAGAAAACTAATAATTTCTCTATTTGAACTGTTAGCAAGACGTTATTGAATTACTAGGAGCTAACATATCTTAAAGTGCTCCCCTCTGCTCCACCGCCCCGCTGCTGTCCGGCCAGGGGCGGTTGGGCTCGGGACCTGCGCGCGTCCGCGGCCACTGCGCGCCCGCAGGGCCGCCGCGCTCCCGCTCCCGCTGCGCTCGGGCGCGGAGCCGAGCCTTTAGCCCCGGTTCCCGTTCTGCTCGCCCGGCGGCCGCCGGGCAGCCTCGGGGCTGGGCGAACCCGGGAGCAAACCGGGACGGCTCCGCCGCCGCGCAGCGGGCGGCCCGGAGCAGCCGGACCGGCCGTCGGGGCCTCCCCGACGGGGCGCGGCGGGGGGACCGCGGCCCCCCCAGCCCTCCTCCGACGGCTGTGGGGCGCGACCCCCGTCCTGCGACCCCTCTCTCGTCCCCCGCGGAGCGCGTCGGGGCCGCGCAAGTTTGCGCGCTGCGCGGAGCGGCCGGGGCTGCCCGGGGCCGGGCACGGAGCCCGGCCGCGCTGCGAGACAGGGAGCAGGCGGGTCTCTTTTTCCAAACCATAATTTTACTGTCTCAAAGAAACTTTATAACTTATGTACAAAGATTTGTTGTGTGTTTTTTTTTTTCCTTTCCTTCCCCAGATACAAAGCAATAAGTTAACATTCTCAATATAAAACTAAACTTTGACATATAGAACACTAAACACAGCTGAGCTCAGTTTATCACATCTTCCGAGTTTCACAAGTAAAATGTCAAGATCTCAGTACACAAAGCATCATGTTTTACAGCCACACGAAACAGAACGGAAATAATCATTAAAAAAAAAAAAAAAGAACGAAACAAAACAAAAAACAAAACAAAAGGCTAAATTTGTGCAACATGTTTACAGAACAATAATAATAATAATAATAAAGAATAAAATATGTACAGCGAGTAGCTCCTGCACGTCGGTTTGGGCATCTCTGCTGTGGCCGCCTTTCCGCGGGGAAGCCTCGGCGGGGCTGTGTGGGGCCGTGCGGGGCCGCGGGTCCCCCCCGCCGCCCTCGGGGCTCCCCTTGCGCCCCCGGTGCCTCGCTTCGCCTCCGCAAAGCGGCCGGCAGCTGCCGCCGTCCCCCTTCAGTCTCAAACAATGTGCATCTCTTCCCTTTGTCAGAGAGGTGAAAAACGCAAAGCATTCGGACCAAAGCTTTCCACGCACCAGCGAAGTAGAAAAGTTATTTGTAAAAGTTAAAAACCGCATCCTTCTTTTGGGGGGATTTTGTTTGTTTTTTTGTTTGTTTGTTTGTTTTTTCCCCCGGAGGGGCGGGTTGCGGGGCCGGGGGTTTTGGGTCGAAGTAAACCGTGCGTCCGAACCGTGCGCTCAGCAAACCGGGTCGTCCGTTTGTCTCTAGCACTCTCATAGTGGTAATTTAAGTCAATAAATAAAATCCCTTTCTTCCCCTCTTAACAACAACAAAAAATATACAGATGAATAGTGAGAGTTACAGAAAACGTAGAGGAAAAAAAGCTCTGGAAATTGTACAGCTCGCTCCCCCCCTGCGACCGCAGAGCCCGTCAGATCGGGGTGGCAAATAGCTGACCTACATTTCAACAGACACAGACAGACAGACAGGACAGAGGAGAGGGCTCCCCCCCACAAACATATTTTTCTGATTGTCCCACAAAGCCGCGGCCGGCGCTCGCTCTGCTCCCAGGCTGTTGTGCGGTGCTCGGGGCCGCTCCGTCAGCTGTCAGCGGTGGGAACCGGCCCGCATCACATCTGTGCCCTCCTGCACCGAGCTACAGCGCAGCGTGCTAACGGCTCTATGGGCAGAGACCTCCTGTTTGTTTGTTTGCTTCCTTTTTTTCTCTCTCTCTTTCTCTTTCCCCCTCTTTTTTATTATTTTTTTTCCTTTTACTTAATTTCATTTTTTTTTTTCCGTGATGATTTTAATTCTTTTGGGGACCAATAGTGCTTGCGGTAGGGGATGGACGGGTGTGAAATCACATCAGCTGAGGCTGCTGCATAGCTTCTTGGTGGGCCGAAGGGTACCACGACGTGTAGCTGGGGATGTAGGTGCCCGGGGTCCCCGACGAGGCCTTACCAGAGGCGGAGGTGGTGTTCCACACCGGGGGCACCGGGGGCGAGCTGCCCGAGAGAGCCCTGCCGTTGGTCAGGGCGCTGCTCTCCAGGGCGGCCCCTCCCTGCTTCATCAGCTTCTTGAATTTGGAGCGCTTGTTCTGGAACCAGATCTTCACCTGCAACGGGAGCAGGGCACGGCTCAGCACGGCTCGCCACGGCTCGGCGTCCCCCGGCACGGCCCCAAGCGGGGCCCCTACAGCCCCCCCCCCCCGCCGCCCGCCCGCCCCGACGGGGCCCCCAAAGGTCCCCTCGCCTCGCCCCCCCCCGGGCCCGCAGCTCCCCCGCTCCTCTCCCCCTGCTGCCCCGTGTCCCGGCCGGGCCCCCGCCGCCGTTTCGTGCCGCCGAACCGCCGGGACGCGCCCCCCCCCCCCCGACCCCCTGAACCCCCAGGCCAGGCTGTGCCCCACGGACGGGGCGGGCGGCGCCGGGCCCCGCTGCCCGCGGCTGCGGCCCGGCTGCGGGAATCGTGGCCCGGGGGGAGAGGGGAAGGGGGAGGCCGGGAGCGAGGCGGCCAGGGCCGTACCTGGGTCTGGGTGAGTCCCAGAGAGGCCGCGAGCTCGGCTCTTTCGGGGAGAGCCAGGTACTGAGTTTGCTGGAACCTCCTGTTCAGAGCCTGCAGCTGCAAACTGGAATAAATAGTCCTGGGTTTGCGGATTTTTTTCCCTTTCCCATTAAAGCGAACTTCCCCTCCTTCTACCACAGTGCTTTTCTCCGATTCGGCCCCTACAACCACAAACGATGCACAATAAATAATAATGATAGCGGCAATAGTAATAATAGCAGTAACAGCAACAGCGACAGCAATAGTAACAATAACAGCAGCGACATCGACAACAACAATCATGAGAAGGAAGAAAAGTGCGGCTCGAGTAACGCTAACAAAGGCTCCGGGCGATTATGGCAGCCCAGGCTTCTTCCCAGAGAAAGTTTGCTATTTTTGCAGGCTGCAGTTTAGGTTTAATTACCCTTAATTGCATACATTGTTTATAGCGCTACGCAATAAATAATTACGAAGACTAATACGTGCACATCTGGGTTGATTTCTTTTCCAGCCGGGCATTGTGTGCTCTGTGTTCTGCTCCCCTGTGATCCTCAGCCTCTCCTGACTAACATTTTGTAATTTAATTTTAATCCCCCCCGATAGATTGCTTTTTTTTTTTTTTTTTTGATCCAAGCATCCTCCCTCCCTCCCTGCCTTCCCTGCCCCCCCGCCCCAAGCCGAGTGCACCTACCTGTCTCCTCTAACCGGGTCTGAGTCAGGCTGGAGCTGTTGGGGTAGGACTGCACTGAACTGATGTAGGGGTTGGTCGAGTGGCTGCTGACCGAGTTGACATAGGGGTAGCCCAGCGGTCGGGAGAAGGACGAAGCTGTGCTGTACGAGCTGTCAGGCTGAGAGTGGCCCGCGGAGTGTAAACAGTGCATGGAATAGTGTCCGTGGGACATGGGAGAAGGAGACATTTGCTGGCTGGGCGGCCCAAACTCCATAAAGACAGCCTTCCCTGAGACGGGGCTATTTAGACTCTCTGGCATGGTAGTCATGGTCATTTCTTGTCGCTTGGTCTGTGTGTGTGTTCTCTCTTCAGCTTGCCTTTTTGGGGTCTGTTGTGTTTCTCAGGACAGGAAAGAACCCAATTTAAGCGGAACAGGGTTTTTCACTTTCCATTCATAAGAAAATGGAGTTTGTCTCTTTGAAAAGTCTAAGCATGATGCTGGAGATCTACACAAACTCGCCTAAAAGCTTTGACTCAGCCAAGCCTATGAATATTCATGAGACGGCGGAGCTGATTGGTCCGCCGTCTTGCATAATCGCTTTGGATTGGTCCGAGCCGCTCGGGGCTCGCCTGGACCCCGGTGAGCGCCGAGAGCCGGACTCGCAGCGCCGCGCGGCCCCGAGCGCCGGCCGCACGCCCCGACGGCCCCGACGGCCCCGCGGCCCCGCCGCCGCTCCCGGCCCCGCCGGCCGGCCCCGGCGAGCGGCTCCGGCGGATCCCGGGCGAGGCGGGGGCCGTGGCGCCTCCCCCCGCCCTTCTCCGCCCCCCGGCGCGGAGGGGCGCGGGGCCGACCCGGGAGGGGCCGCCGGGGTGCTCCCCCCCCCCCGGGCACCGGGCCCCGCGGGCGAAGTGGGGCCGGGGGTCCGGGCAGCGGCTCCGCGCTCCTTGCCGGGGGTCCTCCGGCTCGCCGGGCAGTCATTGTTTGTCTGGGAGGGGGCGAAGGGAGGGGGAAAAAAAGCAAAAACAAAAAAAAGCAAAAGAGCTCCGGGAAAACAAATGCAAGGAAGCAAAGCTCGCCCCGAGCGGCGGCACTGAGCTTGAAATGGAAACTTCCGCGCGCGTGAGCGGTGAATGAGGTGGGACTTGGGAGATCCTCCCCAGAAAGCCCCCGATGAATCCCAAATTACTTTGTTAGATAATTAGAAAGTGTTGATAATTATTTCTTTCATAATTCGGCGGTGTGGCTGTAACAGGAAAATGATCTCGTGAAAGTTCACACGTGCAGATGTATTAGTTACTGATTCATTTGATTAAATGCTAGTCTCAAGTGCTCTGATCCACAGCTGAAGGACGGCCCCATTAGCATAACACTGATGTTTAATTTTCATACGCATAATTAGCCATATATTTAACACTAATAGCAACATGCAGCCTTTCAGCATTAAACAGCCTGGGATTTGATCTGGCCTGGGCTGAACTTTCCCGGTTACACCTAGGCTGTCTGGGGCGCGCGGTTATCGCGGCACCAAGTCTCTGCAATCGAGCACGTTTTGGCAAAGGGCGAACACCAATAAAAACCAACACTCAAAACAAATCGCCTGGCTGAGGTCGCCGGAGGTGGCAGCGCCGACTTCTCTTCCCCGCCGCCGGCTGCCGCCTGCCGTCGGGGCTCCGGGGCTCCCGGCCCGGCGGCACCGGGCACCCCCGGTCCCGGTCCCGGCCCTGCCTCGCGGCAGCCGGCTGCTGGCTGCGCCGAGCTGGCAGGAGCGAGCCCCTCTGTTCCTCTTGTTCCTCTTTTTTTTTTTTTTTCCTTTTTCATTAGTCGCTCTGTCGGTTTTAATTGCCCATTTCCCAACGCCTCTTTTACTTCCCCCCCCGCCTTTTTTTTTTTTTTTTTCGCTCGCGACGCGTAAAGTTCATTTCCACAAAATAGCTGCGGATTGGTGCGGGAAGGGGCAGGAGCGGTGAAGCCCACACGGACTCCTCCGGCAAGCGGCACTGCCCCCGGCGATGTAAGTGACCGTCCGAGGCGGGGCTGCGCGCTTGGCCGCGGAGGGGACGGGGCGCGACGCCGCCTTCGCCGTCCCCGAGCCCGGGGCCGGGGGTCCCCGCTCCACCGCGCCCCGAGGACGGGCGGGCAGGGCGCAGGCAGCCGTCGGGAGCGGGGCCGCCGCCGCCCGGAGCACCCCTCGCCTCCCGTCCCGTGGAGCGGGGCCGCCGCCGTCCCAGCGGAGGGGGCGCGGAGGCTGCGAGCGAGCCCCGGGGAGCGGGCGGGGGGCGGCCGCCCCGTCGGGGCCCCCCTCGGGCTCTCCCGGGAACGCGTCCCGCCTGAGGGGAGGCCGAGCGCTTCTGCTGTTTAGTTTGTAATTAGGATTACAAAGGGGTGCCGCAAATGCCGGGATTACCCGCGGGAGGCCTCTGCGCACGGCGGCCCCACGGCATCCTCCGCGACGGGACGGGACCGGACATGGTCAGACGGGACGGGACTGGACAGGACGGGACGGGACAGGAGAGGACGGAGCCGTGAAGCTGCGGCGGCCCCGCGGGGCCGGGGGGAGCCGCTCGGGCTTTCGCTTAGCACCTGCGGTGCCCCCCGGGGGCTGTGCCCGGGCCGCGAGGGGCCCCAAACTGCTCGGGACGGCCGCCGCTGGGATTTTGGGAAAGCCAACCCGCTTCCCCGGGCAGTGCCGGGCGTCCCTCGCTTTGCCGGCCCGACGGCACGCCGTGTAACCTCTGCGCGTTTGTAAACTTGTTTGATGCATCGTTTATTTTTACAGGTTTTAAGGCCTTCCAAACTAATCTAGGGGACGAGCGAACTGAAAGGCTGCCCTGCGGTATTAGAAACGGCCTGGGGGGGGTCCTGCTTCCTGAAAAGATGCTGTTAGAAACGATTCGAGCTGACAGCTCGCTGTACGCGGGTGAAAGCAAACAGCGCGGACAAACGGGAAGACGCCAGCTCGCTTCTAGCCCGGCCCAGCCCGGCCCGCTCCAGCCCCGCCAGGCGCGCTCCCGGGCGGCCCCGGGCGGCAGCGGCAGGACCGCGGGCCGGGCGCGCTCCCGAGTGCCGCCTGCTCGTGGCCGAGGCAGGAGCGGGTCCTGCAGCCGGTAAGTGTCACCGCCGGACACGTCCGGCCCGACGGGGCGACGAGGCGGCCGCCCCCCGCAGCCCAGAGCCGCCCTCCCGCCCCGTCGGGCCCGCAGCGAGCTCCGGGGCCGGTCGTTCCCCGAGGGCCGCCCCCGCGGGCCCCATCCTTCCTCCGCCGCGCTGCCACACGCCGAAATCGCGCAGTGTCCCCCCGTTAGTCCCCACGCCGGCCAATTCTCCAAGCGGGGCAGCCATCGGGCTGCAGGAAAGCGCGCCCCGCATCTCGCCTCCAATCGCTCCGTGTGCCGCGCCGGGAGAGCAGCCGTGGGCAGGGGGCAGCTGCTGGGGAGAGGCTGCAGCCCCCGGGCCAGCCCCCGGGAAACTTTCCTGTCCATCCGAGCAGAGTTATACAGCCCGGGATGCAGCACCAGGTAGCCACAGTGAGGCCAAACTGAGCCACAGTTCAGCTGTGAAGTCCTGTGTGTGCCCCGCATGGGACGTGGAAGAGGGGGACCCGCTCGCTGCCCTCACCCCAGACAACCCAAGCCCCCGCAGGCTGTGCGTGGCTGCCTCCAGGGTCACAAACACACCATCGGGCTTTTATTAAATACTCACCAGGTAACACACAGAGAGGACCATGTCCAGAGCCAGTCCCTCGGGCTGCTTTTTCTGCCCCCTGCAGCAACTTAGGCAGCACCCGTTCCCCAAAGAAATTACAAAAATCTTATCTCTGTCCTGGGTGACACTGGCAATTTCGCAAGCACAACGAGTCCCTCCGCTCCTTGCTCCATCTTTAGGCTTCTTCCACCACTTTAGAGAGGATTTCTGCTCCCTCTGAGGTAACCACGATGGTATGCTCAAACTGCGCTGACCTGCAGGGCACACGCAGCGGTTATCAGGGGGCAAACGTGGCCACCACCGTGCCCAGCAAACTTTTGGCTGCCGGTGACCAGCTCGGGGGCTTGGGGAAGATAAAAAACCCAAATCAGGCACCTTTTGTTGTCTACAGAAATCGCGGTCCATTTATCCTCCAGGATCTCAAATTCGGGGGAGCCTTCCATTATTATCGGCTCTGTAACAAGGAAAAAAACAAACAAAACCCTGTTTTCTCAAGTTAGTCGCGCTCCCTGCGAGCTGCGGGGTGAGGCAGGGGCCCAGCAGGCAGCTGCCCTTCCGTGGGTCCCGGCCCCGGGCCGGGTCTGAGCTGCCACTGCCACGGGAACCGAGGAGGAAGACGAATCGTTAAGGTAGGGGCTTGCCCACTCCTCTTTTGTAAAAGCGAGGAATTTTAATCAAGCTTTAATTAAGACCCCGTGGATAATAACCAAAGCGCCAACCACGCTTATAAACAGCAGATAGTTTGAAATATCGGAATTTTTTTAAACAGCCTTAAAATGTTCATTAAAGCAGCAAAACAACAATTTTCTGATTTCCCTCTAATTGCCGCGCCATTTAGCCTCGCGGGGAGGAAGAGCGGCTTTTCCCCGGCAGCCCCGTGCCTGGCGCTCGGCGGCTGCGGGGCCGGGCTGTGCCTGGCAGCTCCGCGCTGCCCCCGGCCCGGCAGCGGCTGCGGCAGGCGGGAGGCAGCCGACAGACACCCCCGGGGTCGAGCTCTTCACCAAGATTCACGCCAAGGGCTTTTTCCCTTTCCCAAATCTCGGTGCTCGGAAGTCGTCTCAGCTCAGCGCTTCCTTATGGCATTTTAAGAGTAAGGTTTTAATCTGTTGCCTGAGGGGTCAGTGCCGCCTGCACCCCCACGTCCGACTGGACATTTCTATATTCAAATAAAGAAATAGCTCGCAGCTGGGTCGTTGTGTGCGTGCTCATTACAGACAAACACAGAATACATTTACTAACCTATTGTGAATGCCATTCCCTCTTCCATTAACAAGTCACTGTCATTGGCTAGAAAAGAAAATAAAAACGCATTTATACACACACACACAGATATATACTGGCAAGAACAGCCAGCTCGCCTCAGAGCCCATCTGGCTGTGCAGGTGCCGTGCTGCCCACAGCCAGCCCCACAAAGCGCCAGGGCCTCCTTACCGTGGTGCCACACCTCGGGGTGCCCATGGAAGTACGACCCGATGCCATGGCCGACGAAGAAGGGGCAGACCTGGAAGCCGCCACGCTGCGCCACCAAGCTGTGGGGGCAAAAGGGACACTGTGGGGGAGCATGCCCCGGCTCCTGACAGCGCACCAGTGCCAGAGCATCATATTGGTGTGGGGTTGACATTTTGTGCTCACTCTGAAAGAGTGGTCATCAGAGCTAGTGGCAGTGAGCCATCATTAGGTTTCAGAGTTAACACACCCATGGGCTGAGCTGAGACCTCCCTGCCCGCAGAGCCCCCACTGGACCATGTGCCTGCGGCATGCACCGGGTTGTGAGGGCAAGGAGGGTCCTGCTGCTGGTGGGGTTGGTAGAAGGCAAACCTATTCCCTTGCAAAATACTAAAAACACTCAATGCCGAAACATATTGCAACACCAGATCTGTTCACTTCAATTCACAATGTATTTCTAATGAGCCCACCACAACAGTACCGAAAGCAAATTATAGCAGATACGGCATTTGAGTTCTGCCTGGGAGCTCTGCCTTCTCCTCATGGCCTATCTCAGTAAGGAGCATCTCCGAGCAAGATGTTCTTGCCTGCAGGAACAGGGCCCAGCACTGCGCCTTGCCCTTGCTGGGAAAGCAAAATCCTATCCTAATCCCTAAAAGCTGGAGGACCTGGAGACAAGTGGGGTGTCCTCTGGCTGAGGGGCTGCCCGATGCTTGCAGGCCTCTTGCCAGGGCCCTGCTCAGTGCTGACTGGAGGCTGCTCAGGCAGCAGGGCCAGCCGGGTCCAAAATGGAAACACGCGGAGATCTGGGGGGCCGGGAGACGGATTAGAAGTGACAAGGAAGCTGCTCCTGCATATCATCCCCACATTGTTTCTAAAAGCAAACTAGATCACAGGAACAAGGCAGGAAGACACTCAGTCTGAACAGATTTTGTCTGTGAGATCAAAAGCCTCATTTGTTCATTTTAAATCAAGGCAAGCACTTAACACTTCTGGTTTGGCTATAGCTGTGGCTGAGCAAATGCTCCTCAGAGTGTGACTACAGGCTGACGAAGAGCGGGAAAGACGAGAAAAAAGCATAAAGGTGCCAGCTGTCTCCTCACGTAGCCATTGCCCTGCACACAAGACCATGCAGCCTCCACAGCGCTCATGCCGGCACCCGTCTGTCACTGTCCCTGGAAGCAGCTGCCACTGCTGAAGGACATGGAGCGCCTCCACCGTGCTGCAGGAGTGAGAGAGGGGAGACAGGTCAACAGTTGACAGTGCTGCCATGTCCAGGCCTTAAGAGCATGTTTTAACAGGATTTGTGTAGTAGCTTTTACCTACCCGTCACCCCAATACAAGGACTCATCACATTTCTTTCATTACTTCTGGAGAAGAATGGGAAATTCAGGTTTAGTTGTTATTAGTAACGCTAGAAATTGGGCTTCATTTAGTTATATTCAAGGTCCAGAGTTTCATCTTCTACACAATTTACATGGAAAAAAAATCATGAAGGCTTATGCAGTGAAAAGTCCTACTAGTGATGGAAAAGTCTTTCTGCTGTGCCTCTGTCATGCCAGCCAGGTCTGGGTCACAGACCTGGACTGTTTAGGACGATGCTGAAGGCCAAGGAAGAACAGGGAGGAATTAGAAAGTCAGATTACTCAGAAACATACACAAAATGAAATGGAAGATCTCCGGTGACCAAGCCCAGAGCAATGCAGATAATGGTTCCCATACGGGGGAAGCGATTCTCTGAAGAGACGGGAGAAGCCGTATATGCACCACAGTGTAACCTTTTCCTTTGCCTCCTTCTGTGAGTCTTTTTGCAAGAGCCTAAATGATGCCAGCAGCTGTTCAGCTCCGCCAATGCCTGCCCAGGGCACCCCTGACTGCTGCCGGGCCCCGCACCCACCCCCAGCTGCTGAGTGGCAGCAGGGGCAGCTGCTCACAGGGCACCCAGGCATGAGAGGCCCTGCTGCAACCACGTCCCCTCCTCTTGTGGTGAAAGAAGTGGTTCTTGCGCGTTTTAGTGTTGAATTCTGCCACTTTCTTGCCAAAGAGCTTGAAAACAACTCGGCTGGTATCAGTACTCGGGTGGTTACCTTCTGTGACACCAGCACTGCCAGCCACATGCGCTCCTCCGCCTTCCCACTTAAACGTGTCTACATACAGAGCCTGGGCCTTCTTTATATAAATTTTAACGTGACCAACGAACTTGGAGTGACACACAGAAAACCTGTGGAGAAAATAAGCTGCAGGCATGAAACTCAGCCATGTTCAATCTGGTTTTAATATCTGCATGTGCTTCGGAAGCACTGTATGGGGAATTTCAAAGCTCTCCGCAACTACTAGCTTCACTTTGGAGTATTTAAAAAATCCTAGTGAGCTGTCACATCCGTGTGGAGGTACAGTGAAACACATGCAGCTTCCATAAAAGAAGGTTGCTAATGCCAGCTGCGACTTGCAAGGGTAATTCTGTAAGCACGAACGTTCATGTAGACCGTAGATACTTGCAGGGAGGACATTGAAAGACAGATCTGGGAAGTGTGAACTGAACTGCTGATCTTGATCATTCCTCTGGCCACTGGAGCTCCCAGGCTGTGGAATCTGGTTAAAAAGCCTGGATGTCACAGAGTGGATCAGTTTTGCCTAAGTTGGCCATTTGCTGCCAACAATAGCTCAATGTTTTGGTCTTGCTGCCTCACTGCCTGGCTTGGGATCTGTCAGCAGTGGCCTTTCTCTCCAGCTTTCCCCAGAAGGCAGCTTCATAAAATTACATTTCCTGCTCAGTGAAAACAGGGTGCTGGAGGAGTCCTGGCTGCAAGTGGGAAAGAAGCGAAGGAGGGTGGCAGGAGCTGGTCAGGCTGAGTGGGGCTGAGGAACCGGGCTGCAGGGCCTCTCATCTGTGGGTACATCCCAGTCCCACCACTGCCTGTGGTGCCAGCTGGGCAGCAGAGCCACACTGCACCGACAGCATAAAGGGACGACAAGGATTCTTCAGTACAATCGTTGTTAAAAATATCCATTGATAACATTTACCATCACACATTTTATTCTTCGAGCCATGTTGCGTGCTTGGGCAGAGGTGAATTGGGCAGGATTAAAAGCATAATCATTTAATGAGCTCAGTACTTGATTTCATGTTTTGCTGCCATGTGTTACAGCCCAGCGGCTGCAGAGTCAAGAGTCCCTGCAGCACTGCTCCTCTTCTGCAGGCGGCAAAGTGCGTAGTGTTGGGATGAATTGGCTGTGGCCAAGCTGGTAAAGGAAAGTCACTGAGGGCAGGTGTCTGCCTAAAACCCATGGGCAGAGCCTCCCAGGTGGTGCCTTCATGCTTCTGAGAGTGGACAGCAGAGCTGGGTGTCAGTTCCTTCCCAACTGCTGCCAGACAACAGCTAATTCCCTGCGAAAGGAGGGATGAGCATGGAGACACTCGGCCTTCCTGCCAGCAGCCCAACGGGGAAATTCCAACAAAGCAGCAATAGGCAGGACTGCTCCTCTACAAAGCTCTCCTCGATGTTCTGGAGCATCCATTGAGAGTTTTTGGGTGAATGGGATAAATCCCTCTTGCTGAAAAGGAGCTTGAAAGAATTTCCTTGGGGGGCTGGCCCTGTGCCTCCCCAGAGAGCCTCAGATAGCCTCTGGGAGCACCCAGGGGACAAGGGGCATCCCAGCTCCAGAGGAAAACACCATACACTCAGTCTCATGACTGGGACTCCCATTCTGGGACAAAAAATAAACAAACAACCACCCAAACCTACACTTTATTTTCTTTTTACCAGATTGTGTTGCTTTTTCCTCAAGGCAAGTCAGGCCCAATAATCTAAGCCCTCACTGAGGAAACAAAATAAACCAAATCCTGCTTTCAGCCTGGAGCAATACCTCCCTGTGCCCTCTGGTGCCAGAGTGGAAGAGTTGGCTGATCAGCTAGGGCGGCACAGACTTGGGCTGAACATCCTGGGGAACTGATTCCCAGCTACAGCTGCTTCCCACTCACTGCCTGCGTCTCTCCCCAGAGACCAAACTTTTACACCGATGCTCTGCTGCACGACACCAGAGGCCAAAGCTCCCAAACAAATCTGCCCTACACCACTGGGCAGGGGGCACGCTTGGGAAACACTGGAAGAGAGAACAGATCTGTGATAATTGTTTTCTTGTTCAGGGACCTGTATGAATGCATCTTTTTTATTTAAATTAAAAGTATTCATGCTTTTCTTAAATATATTGTTAACAAAATGACCATTGAATAGCATTTTTTTAAACATTCTTGAAAATGGCATCAGCCTGAACTAGATTTGATTATGATAAAATATTTATTTTCAACAGCACTATATTAACTAATTTGAGAAATTACAAATGTATATGGGGAAAATATTAAAGTATTTTTCTCTCAAATAGTAATGCTAGACTGAGGGAATGCACAAGTTCAGGGATTCCCTATAATGACAATAAATGTTGAGGTATAATTAGTAATATTTTTGAAAGCCAACAATTGTTTTTTGAAAGAAAGGTACATTTTAGTTTCAAACTGGAACACAAATTACTGTATTTTTCTTACAATAGTGCTGAACTTTTATTTGAGGTTCTCTGTTTCTGAAAGCAGACATGATGGATTGAAATAAAAGATAATTTATTGCAATGCTTACTTTCAAGTGCAGAGAGAAGCAGTGTAATTGTAATTTACAGTAGCTGTCAAGGAAAATCTATCACAGATGACATTAAAATGACTTATTTTGCCTGAGCCACTTATTGTTTAAATGTGCATAATCTGATAGAAACAGATTTTTTTTTAAATTCTGCTTTATATTGTTCTAAATTAATATCAAAACATATACTTACGAGTTAAACATTTTAAACCATTTATTAATACTTTCCTCACTACTATTTTTTCCTAGGACTTGGAAACTGGTTTATTTAACAATATCACGTTTATGTTTTTTAGCTCTATACACTCACAACACTTGCACGTATCTAAACTCAATGGCTAAAAAGTAGATTGCAAACGAGATTTATTTCTGTCTGAAAGAGAAATGTCATTAGTGTTAGAAGGAAATGGGAACACAGGGCCCGATTCTGTTCCCAGTGGAGTTGATAGACAGTTTTGCCACCATCTTCAATAGGAACAGGTTAGCAAAGATTCACATTTCTCTAAGCAGAGTTACTCATGAATCCATGTAATCTTTTATTTGCAACTTCTAGCCAATGTAAGAAGGAACCGCTGCCCATGAAATACTTGCTTTCAGCTATCGAGCTTCAGTAACAAAGAGTATGTTACAATACTGAATGCAAGCTTACCTCTGTGATATCATTATTCCCAAGACATTTACAGAAAGCAAATACTCTGATTATTGTGTCTAAGATATGTTCTGCATACCACTTGAGCACGTTTATAGAAAATACTAATGAAAGATACCTAGACAGATCTCCATTCTGATGGGCCTAAATGTTCTCAGGTATTTATGATCTCTAAGTCTCCTGAAATGGAAGATTTCTACGTATTTTTGTATGTATGTATGCAGATGCAGAAAGATAAATAACCAGAAACATACAACTTCACTCAACCAAGGCGATCTTTCAGCAGAGGCAGTGTTGAAGTAGTTCTAAACACATCAGCACATTTAAATTGTCTACACGATAAAATCTTGAAAAATAAAGTTAATGATCTGCTATTTCACATGTAGTTTTGGACATCTACTAGCTTTGATTAATCTGCTTTTCAAAGGGGGTGCTGACTATATATTTACACTTTGCAAGTAAACTGACCTCCGTAGCAACACAGCAAAAATCCAATGTCAGATTCAATTCTGTTCTTTTTCTTCTTCCCTTTTTTTTTTTTTTTTTTTTTAATACAGCTAGAATTAATGTAGTGAATCTGTAATGAAATGCATTATCCTGCATGGAGATTTATCAGATTTTCCAATTGAATGCCATGCTTTGCTAGCACTAGCTGGAGTTCACCTGCATGTTGGTGTGGCGTGTGGCTCTTTTTTGTAAAGAGTTAAGTTGAACACAAAAAAAGGGAACAAAGGTCAGCACCCAGCCGCCACTTGAATGTGAGATTTTTCTTTTTATTCCCCTTGATGTAAACTAGGCTCTGTGTTATTAGTCTTAATGATGGAAAATTGTAGTGTTGATACAAATCTTTTTTTCAAAGTAGTAGGCGGGAGCTCCATTTGTTAGTAAGTTTTTTTGTGACTAAAAGCCATGGACAGTACATTTATGTAGCAGTAAAAGGCCTAGATGCTCTTTCCATAGCAGAGCTAATTATTCCTACTGTGACCTTACTGATCTACCCTGTTCCTAGTACATCTCATCTGCACGCCTGTTCCTCTGTGTAGATGGTGTCAGAGAATATGAAAAACCCTATAATGAAACCATTTTCATGATGGAGAAAGGCTACTGGAGTTGCACTTGCTACAAAGAGGCTCAATTATATGAGTAATTGTGATAATTTTCTACATTCATAGCCTTCAATGGGGAAAAAAGAATGAGAGCCACAAAGGAAAATTACTTTAACAAGAAAGTACAGAGAGTAAAAATGGAAGAAGAGACAAAAAGGGGGAAAAAAATAACCAGAAAAAAAAGTTTAAAAAATAGATCTGGAGGGAGGAATAGCAAGACAGGGAGAACAACAGAAATGCTCAAAAAGCCTATGTGCAGCTGTGTTGCACAATTAAATTGAATTTTTTTTCTGCAGTTGATGAATGTGACTACTGCAAATGTGCCTCTGTAGTTAGCTATCATTTGTTGTTCCGTGACAGGAAAAGGATAATTACCTCTCAGAGAGAATCAAAGGCTGACATGCCCTTTAGACACAGCCATGAATGCAGAGCTCGATAGAATGCTTGAATAAGAATCTAGTGTTCTGTGCCCCCTTCTACTCAAGAATAAATTTTGTTAAAATGCAAGAGCACCACCAGTAAATTTGTTGAACCCTAGGTGTTCAAAAATATGAGGTGCATCTATCGACTCATCCCATTTGCAAAAATAAAACTACATTTTGAATTCACTTCTATTATATTCATGGACAGTAAGATAGTGAGATATGCATTAAATTTCTTTTCCCAGTAGGGGTCTGATTCAACATTTCCTATGAAAGAACAGAAAGACACTATCCTTTTTCTCCAGGCTAGTTAGCCTATAATTTAAAACTGTCAAAAACACAATTTTATACAAAGTCTTCAATAAAAGCTTCTCAGATATAACCCAAAGAGGTTTTACTAAAGTTTGATTCAGACTCTGTTACAATATTTTTAAAGCTATAAATACATCTAACTGATATTTTGCCGCTCTCTTTTTTCCTTAAAGTATTTGAAGATTTACAAAGAAAAAAAACAGCATCCTTTCAAGGTGACTAAGCCTTGCAGCTTTTAAGTAATCGCAACGTATTCAATAGTATGTTGGGACCATTAACAGTCCACTGAAGTATTGCTTAATGAAATGTATACAATATATGTCTTTTTTTTTCCAAACATTTAGAAATAATCTATAGGTACCTTCAAAAAATTAAGCCATATTTTTATTCAAAACTGCCAGAAGAAAAGTCATGACTGCATTTCTGTAACAGCTAGAACAGATGCAAAATAGGGAAAAATCTCTTAATGTGAGCTCTTTCTTCCCTCTGACGTTAGTCTTTGTAAGATAAGAAGCTCTCGAGTTAAATATTTTTGTACGTTTTAAACAAAGAGACTTATTTATGTTGACTAATTCCTTTGTAACAATCATTATTGCTATACAATGAAAACAATGGTTTCTAACCTTCTTGCATTGTTAGACAGATGTGATATAGTTTCACACACAAATAGAAAGAAAAAAAAAACTCACCACAAATTACATCTGTTAATATAAATCTACCTTATGAATATCTTTGACTCTTTCCACAGTTATCTTTGCTGACCCTGGTGTAATTCACTTTAAAAAAAAAAAAATCTCTCTTACCCAAGGAACAACATTATAGCTTGGCAGTTCACATACTGATATCAGACTGAAATGATGGTTTTGAATCATAAAACATGTCATCAGCTTTATACCAAACCACCAATAACCTTTGTCCCACTTGCCAGCCCTCCCTTTACTTGTCAATATAAGGCTTACCTGATTGTGTTTCCAATTACAGAGAAGGGAGCCCCTGGTCTGCAAGCTGCAATTGCTTCATCTCTACATTTCCTGGCAACCTCCACTAACTTTTGACCAGATTTATCCACATTGCCCACCAAAAAGGTTTCAGAAGTGTCACCATGGTAGCCATTGTAATACACCTAAACACATGCAGAAATGTAAAGACATTTTCTCATTTTGTATCTAGAAACAGATTACCTCCTGCATTAAATCTGTTCTTTCTAGGAATGAGCTATGTGTTGCAACAGATAGGTCACTGGTAGGCTGCATTTGTGAGAATGAGACCAGAAAAGTGAAACATTGGAAAAAAAAAACAACAACAAAAAGCACATGAAAGACTGCAAGGTGCGTAAGGGTTGCCAATTAAAAACTCAACAAATGAAAAAGTTGTGCATCGCTGCCTAGCAGAGCACCAGGAGGTGACACAGGCAACATTGCTCAGCTACGGGCCATGATGCCAGCGGGGCCGTGAGCAAGATGATGTTTTCGTGCCATGCATGGGCTGGAGGGGGGCTTGGGGGCCACCCAGAGTCCTGAGAGGTCCCTGGTGTTGGTCTCCCATTGGTGTCCTGCAGGGGTGAGGTGCTGAGCTTTATGCTGGCCGCAGGAGACCCACCAGCATCTGGCGGGGAGACCCGTCCCTCTGTGGGGAATGTCCCCCGAGGGGCTTGGGGGTTATGCTTAGGTGGCAAATGCAGCACCCTGTTGAATTAATGACAGGCTTTTTTGTTTCGTTTTGCTTTGTTTTTGACATTTCATAGGCTTCAAGCCTTAGCTCTCCTGAAGTTCCCTCTGGGGCACGGGAAAGCCATGCAGAGCTCTGCAGCGCTGCACAGAAACGCGTTTTACAGCTCTGCAGTACGGCAGGCAGGCACACAACTGTGAGAGCAAGCCAAATTTCCCTACCAAAAGACAAATTATAATGGTGCACAGTTTTGATCTTCTAAAACATTTTTTTTCCCCAAACAGTGGGCAACTATCCTCCCAGGACTAATGATTCACAAAGCTTGAAGCACTGAACTTTTGCCACTTGAGAGCAATTTGTGAAAGACACAGACTCACATTCCTTTTGGTCAATTCCAAACTGAAAAAAAAATAATTAAAAAATGGCTACAGACACTTTATTCCAAGGCCAGGTTTGTGTTGGGGGAGAGATTTAAAGAAATGCAAGCAGTTCCCAGTGAACAGCATTGTACAGGAAGATGAATGTCAGCGAGGATCCAACTTTGCCGTTTCCCCGTTGTACACCTCCCTCTGTCAGCTGAGGCTATCGCTAAATCTGCTTTTACAATTTAATGCCTGATGGGCAGATTTTATGCTAGCCAGTTCATATTTAAGCTGAACTAGTTCATTTTTAGCTCTAGCAAGTACGGCACTTAAACAAACAAACAAAAACATTACACATCATCATCCTGGAAAAACACATACAGATTTAAAACACAGTAGAGCTTAAAATTAATAGTATTTACTGCAGGCTATCAACCACAATGATGTATTTTTGACATTAATAAACTACAACCACAGCACTAATTCCTTAAAAGTCAATGAAAGATTCAAGGTGTAAGAAATGTTACCTGGTAATGGCTGGCTGAAAATTGCACTGTGTTGTAGATTCTCTGATGCATAATGCTTCTGTTTCTACACTTAAATACATCCTAAAGGCTATTTGAATCAAGCCAATAAAATCTGTGTTTCATCTATGAAATTCTACCATTTTAATTGTGCAAAAATAGATTTTTTCTTCAAATAATGTATACATTGTGTGAAGTGTTTATAGTTAATAACCAGAATATTATTTAATCATTTTATAGAACCTGTACATAATTATAAACAATTTGTTGTGGCACATTTACTTTGATTTTTACTCTCTTCCCCTGAGAAACATTCCAATTTTGCTCATTAAAATAAACTAAAAGATCAATTAACTAAACTGTAAAGTAATATTTCTTTCTTAGATAGTTTGGAACTGAACAGTTATCAAACACAACACAGTTCAGTTTCAAATGTTAAAAAAGGTCTTTACAAAGATAATCAGCAATTCCTACCCTTGTAGGAATCTTCACTTTTACAGAAACTTCAAGATTTAGTTTATTTTTTGAGGGTAAACAGAAAACAAATAAAATATATTTTCAAAAAGACAACTAACCTTTAGTCATACATAATTTGTAAACCAGGGTGAACAAGATGTGCAGACCACATTAATATAAAATGTCTCACTTAGAATATCAGGGAAAGGATCTGTGATGTGAATTTACACTTTTTTTTTTTTTTTTAATCTAAGGAGTTAGTATTCTGACAGATTAAGCTAAAAAAGAAAACAAACAAACAAACAAACAAACAAACAAAAAACTTAAAAGTACCTAAATGACTTACAAAGAAATCAGATGTTAAATCCTTAGCTGTGACAAGCTGACTTAGTCTAGCAAATTAAGTAAAACTACATCAATTCACCACAGTGAAAAAATGAGGCCCAAAATATACTTTAAAAATGGTAGATCACTCTGTGTAAAACTGGCAGTCATAATTCTACAATTAGAAAGTACAGAGATGGGGAAGAAATTAGTAGAATTAAAAAAAAAAAAAAGAAACACAGTTCTGGATCAGATGCGAGTATACCATGGAAAAAGGTCACTGACCCTAATGTTCATAGAAAAAATATTTTAAAAAGCTTGAATCCCATGCTCAGAGGTAAGTCCACTTGAGATTTCTTTGCTTTTGCCAGTATGAAATTTGGGCCCATGGAAAATAGTATCAAATTACCAAGAATTTTTTAATGATTAAAAAATCGTGTTCCTATGTTACTCCCATATTGTAAAATAATGGTAGAATTCAAAAGACATCTGCACCCATATTAGAAATAAATTCACATTGGGAAAATAAAAACATCTACAATAAAAAAGGAAAAAAAAGCTTCTGCAAAACATGAATGCTTTTTGCTTTCTAAATGAAACAGAATTAGGTTCCCAGTTTCAGTATTTTCTTGCTCCTACAAAAATCCAGCCAGTGTTTATTTAAGTAGCTATAATTGGCCATTCTCTGGAAATATTAAGTCACGGTTATATCACACTATTTCTGTTTCTGTGCAAAAGGTTCAGGGCTTTTATACCAGAAATGGAACACAACACTACCTTCGGGGATTTTAATAAATGTAGGGAACACTGCTAGCAAAAGAGTTGCTGTCCAAATAGACTGACATACACAGGCCAATGTAGCCTCTAATGACAGAGTAAGATAATGACAGGCCCCACTCAAAATCAGCAGGAAGAGGAAGATCAATCTTGGCAGAGTGAAGGAAAAATGCTGGCTTTCTTCATGTTAGCTCATCTCATACATATCTATCTTCAGCTGCTGCCCAGTACTGCGGTGCTCTGCATTAACTACACAGTGGATCAATAACAATTACACCTTCTCAAAAACATGACACATAGCAGGATTGGGTTGACATTTCACTTAGGCCAACATTGATCTCAGTGCATCTGATTCCAGTCCTAAATTCAAGTCAGGCCTGGGTCTAGCTGGAATAAACACACAGTTAAAAACAAAAAAGGAAACCAGCTGCTTGTGCCTTGCCTTAGAAGTAAACAGCACATCCATCTGTGCGTTCCCCATCTCCGATCCACTATTCTTCCTGTTGCTACCAGGGACTCTAAAGTTGATCAAAGACTATTTTTTATATGAATTACTCACCGTGACATCAATGTTGATAATATCTCCATCCTGAAGAGGTCGACTGAAACATAAACAGAAAAGAAAAAAATAATGGTGACAGACAGTTCCCAACAAAGGGAATATAAGAATAAACACCTAATGACACATACATAAAAATCAGGGGGTAGGTATTTTGTGACGGAGGAAGGCAGAGGCAAACAGAATAACCATTTTTAATGTTCAGCTCTCACTACGTAGAGAACAAGTGTAGCTGAATATAAAATAATGAGAAACAACTGGCAGAAAAACATATCAACATCTGAAAAATCTACCATTATATTCATTCTTTTTCTCTCACTAGGGTTCGTATTTTACTTTGTGAGTAGCTGAATGTATTGCAAATAATAAAAAAAAAACCACAACATAAATTCAAATATATTTATTCCCTACCCTATACTTATTTTGCTGGAGAAAAAAGAAATCAGAATTATTCTTGGTTCTATTTTTTCCCACACACTAAACTCTAAAGACATTATGTGCTTTTTTGTTGTTGTTTTCTGTTTTTTTTTTTTTTTTTTGAAGCACTTGGACAAGCAGGATAATATTATTGTTGTTCTACCTCACATACATTTCTATAACATCTATCAGCATTGTGTGGTAACATAATATGCATCTGCAATACATTTACATATGACATGTAGTTAAGCTGAAATATGTTCAATATTAAACACAATTTATTAATTTCAGTTTAACATTTTCATCCCCGGCGGTAAAATGTATATTATTGGGGAAATACCTGTCAGGAATACCATGACATACCACGTTGTTTACAGAAGTACAAACAGACTTTGGAAAACCTCCATAGCCCAGAGGTGAAGGATAGGCATTCTGTCTGATTATTTCATGATGAACAATGGAATCTATTTCTTCAGTTGTCATGCCAACCTAAAATATCAAACATAACATTCTGTTAAAAAAGCAAAGATAGTTTCTCATATTTACTGAATGTGATTGCAGCCAAACGTTTCGATGAAACCTTGGATGTTTCAAATTCACTGCTTTGATACAAAACACTAAACTGTCTGATATACTTTATTGATATATTGGACTACTTCTTTTTTTCTTCCTTTAAGAGAAAAAGGTTTTAAATCAAGCATGCAGTAGAAATAAGCATTCAAAGGTTCCTAGAAAACCTAAAATACGATCTACTTCCTTTCCGTCCGTTTTTCCACATTTGCTTTCTCAAAGACACCAATTTTCCATGGCATCTTGTTTCAGTAGCTGCTGTAGAAATGTCTGGTTTTAATGCTTCCAGTCCTATAAAACACATTACTTTCCCCTTTTATTTGTAAAATAAAGGATATTAATTCTTCTAACTGTGCAGTACATATATCATTATGCATTTGTGCATTTTATGCAATTGTTCTCCAATTATTCTTTAATTTTGTAAAAGATTTAAATATTTGGGTTCATATCTTGAAGATATTTTACTTAAAGTTTCCACAGCCTAGGCAGTTGTAGTGAATCTACAGGCACTTATTCATCATTTTTAGGAATGTTCACTTCTATGTTTGACATTTTCTAGATTCATCTTTTTCTTGTGATTTTATATATTTAAAAAACTCATAAATCATTCAGCCATTTTCTGAGTATCTGTGGAGTGGAAAACGCACATGTTTAAAATAACATTCTTGTAGCTTTTCTTTTGGATAGACTGTCTCCAAAATGGTTAGAGCTGGGATTTGAAATTTGGTAGGGAAACCTCCCTCATTGAGAAGAAGTGCCTTTGAGGGTTCCTGTGCAAATTGATTTTGATTTGAATGAGTTTTGAGCCTTTGAAAATCATACTTTGTACACACACGCTACGGCAGCTATGATTTTTGAGGGCTTTTTCGCAACACGTGGAATATAGGTAGGCTGTGGTGCAGGAGGCATACATAACCATATGTTGAAATATTCAGCGATCACGTACAGTGAATACAACAGAGTGCACTTGTGTCGTGCACTGAGGATAAAACCAGGTCTATTTGCTCAGCTTGCACCTTGTTCAGCACAAAAGCATATGAGGAGCGACAACCCCACCCAAGACACAATTTGGGGTTTCTGTGCAGCTCCCCTGCTTTGCAGCAGCTGTGGTGGCTGGGATGGCAGCCACAGCCCCGCGCACTGTCTGTATCGGATGCTGCAGCCACTGGTTCTGGATTAACACAGGTCTGTTGCTCCTGCCTTCGCTCACCCATCTATCACCTTCAGCATGTAGGCAGACTGAAGCGTTATGTAGCACAATGGGTGCTGCCACCGCCCAAGGAATTCAGTGTGGCTTTTGGATGCTCAGTGGACAACTCTGTGTTCTCTGTGGGGGAGGGGCTTATGTCCTACAAATAAATCTTGTTTTAGTGGTACCTGTTTTGCTTTTAAATGATCTTTTGTTAGCTTCGCAATTTTGGGGAGACACCTACTGCACACCTCATCCCTTACGTGGGGCAGGGCAATGTGATGGTATCCAACAAAATACTTCCGTGTCATAGATTTTGCTATTTTTTCCCAAATCTTTTCCCCAAGCCTATGAAGTGCTATCATATATAATACCATATGGTGGTTTTAAGTCCAACAGGCAATATATGGCAACAGCAAAAACATATGCCTGGCCCAAACATTGTTCTTCTGCATCTAGATGTTATAATGCCACCTTTGTCATACTGGGGGATGTTACTGCTGTTAGATAAATCACAGACATGAGCTTTTTTCAAGGGCTGTGTGCAAGGTAGGCTTAGCAGGACCACAGGAACAAGTGGAGGGATGGGGCTCTTCAGATAAAATAGGAATACAGAGCCTACCTTACAAGGATAGCCTAAAACAGCTTGGTTTATTTCGTCTGGCACCCTGAAAGCTGTAATAGCTCTATTACTGCGTGAAGGGGATAGGCTCAAGGAAAGGCAGCAAGCGGTTTAAATTAAAGAGTAGGGTTGGCAGAAGAATAAACTTGTTGCACGTAGAAAACACTCCCTGTTGATAATAGAAGGCCTTGCAACATCCCTCCATTCAGAGCAGCCATAGCCAAAAACTAGTGCAGAATGGAGCTCCCACATCTCTGAAATGGGCTGGGGCTGGCCTGGGCAGTGGTCTCAGCTCTCTCTGCCAGCTCCCTCCCTCCCAGCCCCACTGCCCCATCTCCTGGTGACCACTTTTCTTACACAATTTCCTTCTCTACAACCTTTGTTAAAATATGTAGCATGTTGCTATTATGTACTATATGGCACCTACTACCAACTGCATCATAAGCTACACTGTGCTGCATACAGATGCATTTTCTGCATAATAATAACCAAAGAGTTTTAGTGAAAAACTGCTCTCGTTCATAGTCCACACCGCACTCTTGAGGTAAGGTCCTGGTTCTTCAGAAACAGGTATGTGTCCGTAACTTAACACAACTAAGTTTCACTGTACTGGGAAATAATTGCACATAAGTTAAACACTCATGAGCATATGTAAGATTAAAAGCCTCAGGCATTTTTGCTATTGGCCACCCCAGCTCCAGAATTAAACCTCTGGGACAGCATGATGAGAACTGAAAGAAAAACGCATGGTAAACTGATAATTTTTTCCCCTTTTATGTCAATGGAGTTGACTTACAGCTCCCATCTATCTCTGCATCTCATAGCTACTCAACCCATTTTACCTTATTCAGTATGCTATTACATGAAATACCAAGGCAAGGTAAAAAAGCACTCCTTCATCTGCAAAAACTTGTAGTAGGCTCCTCCCGGTACATTTTTACTTGGGTGGTATCCCAAAAACCATACTGTAGAAACATTACTGGAAACCATGAGGCTTTATTAGCAATGCACTCTGGAAAATTGTATGGAGCCTGGCAGCTGTTTTTTCCAACAGCAGTTCAAAGATTTGTGTTGCGCTGACCCCATGGGACAGCGAGGAGCTGAAGGATGGACGGTAACAGAGGCAGCAGCCCAGCCCCTGGGCCTTGCACACATGCAGAGCCAAAAAGCAGAACGTATAGAAAGATGGGCCATGAAATTACAGGAAAAAATGTATCATGGGCCTTATGAGAAACTCATTTGATTTGGCACATCCAAACAGCAGGAGATTATAGACACACATGAGCCAGCAGCTCTAAGTACCACATGGGTCTAAAATACTGAAATAATTAAGCAGGTATACCATGGATGGAATCAAAAGTTAATAAATCCTTCTTTTATCAGAATCTAACTTCAGGTTGGATGCATATTAAGGTCCGTAAACAAACAAACAAACAAAAAGTAGGAAAAAAAACAAAACAAGTATGTGAAAGCATAAAAGACATCCAAACTGTTTTGGGACTTACGCAATCATTACCTTTAAGCCCTTTCCAGCCAGAAGCAGGACACGACGGGCCAATTGACAAGCTTGACGAAGCCCTTGAATCTGATCTTCATTCTTAATTTCTATGTCGTCTCCCCAGTCTGGTACAATGCCTGTCGTCACATAGTCTGGCTTCTTTATGTGCTTGGAGAAAAAGGATTGAAAATGAAGATCAGAAAACTGAGCATGACAATGGGATCATTTTCTCAGATACTGCCTCCTGCTTCATGGCAGCTTGCCCTTTCTGTCGTAGTATCGACCTTCCTAAGCCATCAGGGCAAACCCTCAAGGCTGCCTCAGTATTTCTTCCACTGCCCTTTTGAACTTAACATTGCCTGTTACTACTGACTTATACAGTCTGTTAAGCTCCCTGTACTGAAATCCCGGATACTGCATCCCACTTTCAGCACAGTCTCAAGTTCTAAAACTGTGGAAGACTTAAAAACTTTTTATTTTCTTTTGCAAAGAGTGACACATCTTATAGAAAAGGCATCTAAACACCACAACTGACTGGAAAACAGACAGAATTAGACTCAATAACAAAATTGTTCAATTCCTCAGTTTCTTGCTCAGACAAAACTTCTATTAACTTTCTTCACAAGATTGTGTTTTGACTAAGAATCTTAGGATTTAACTTATTTTAATTTAGAGGTTTTACTTATTAATCCAGTTTTCATGTTTATGTGCAAACCTATCCATCTATAATAGTACGTGAGGGTATCCCAATTTGCTGTGACAAGGAAAGTGTAATAAACTTTATTTTCTGTTCCTGCAGAAAATTCTCAGACTTTACATAGAGGTGAAATTTCATTTCTCATTTTTTTAAGAAAATCCACAATAATTTCATGATGAGTACATAAACACAGCAAACTAGTAACAACGGTAACATCTTGCAGTGTGAGGGAACCGTGCTTTGTCTCAGTGGGTGCTGGGCTGTTTCACCTGTGGGGTGCGAGAGTCGCTTCACCCACCACAGCTGGGCTTTGCGTTGATTCACAAAATACAGAATCAAGCTGGCAGGGCAGAAAGTAAAGTGGCCAGTTAGGCTGTATACAACAAGACCATACAACATCCCAGTGTAGGAGCGAAGAAGAGTGGTGTAGCCTATTAACTCCAGTGGGACTTCCAGTAGGGAGACTATTGTTACTCCCACTGGTATTTTGTCGTTTCTACTCTGAGAGAGTGCAACTGTATCCTTAATGAACTCACATCAACAGAATTTCACATTTCCATTCCATTACAAATAATAGAATATCAGCCCTTACAGCATTTGCAATAGTCTGGGACTTAATTTAGAAGAAATTTAGAATTAATTTAATTTAGAAGAAAGAACAAAAAAACACATTTGCTGGATTACCAACTCCATACACTACAGCACCCCCACTATCCCCTTGGAGGGCACTGATCTTGTAAACTGCTGAGACCTGACCCTGCTGACCTGTGAGATCTGTTAAGGAAAAAGCCCAAAGCAGTGGATGTACAAGTATCTATGTATACAGTTTCACACCAAGATTTTGGAAAAAAAAAAACAAAAACACCGTGTTATTTTAATATGATTTCTGGCACACTCTCTATAAAGTGATAACCTTGTCCTCAAGTTTTCAGAATTGAAAAATTGGACTGATTTTTGACAGTCTAAGCACAGTCATCTGTGAACTCTACTTTTCAGTATGATAATGTATTTGTTCCTCTTTATCCTAAAGGAAGTATCTAAATACAGAAAAAAAAAAAAAAAAGTTCTATAATTTTTAAACCTTTGAAAACATATAAAGCACAAAACTTTATACTTCAAAGCTTTCTTTCCCTGCACACCAAGCTTCCACGGTCTTTAGGAGACCTGATGTAACTGCCCTACTACATTCAGCATCATTACCTGCTTTCGTATACAACATGGTTTTTGTACTTTAGGCCCATGGAAGTATTCCATATTTTGCATAAGAAATCTATAATCACGTGTAAAGTAAGATAAAATATAAGTACTAATAATTATCCTGGAAAGCATGGTTTAAAAAGGGTAATTTTTTGGCTAAAGGAAAGATACTAAACAGTTGAACTGTATGTTGTAAATAACAGCAACAAAAAAGGAAACCATCAGTGGAAAACATGCTTAAATTATATGAGAAAAAAAAAAAGTTATTTTGGCTGTAATGTAAATAAAAACAAAAATATATGTTGGAAGAAAAAAAATACTCAGAGATGGTAAAAAATAGTTTAAAAGGAGCAGTGGGGCTATGCGGCAGCTACCAGCAGGTATTGTATGCTCTTATCTTAAATCTGATGTAACCAATTAACAAAACATTCAGGAAGAGATAAATATTTTTGTAATTAGCTTGTGAGAGATTTATACAGAAAAGGATTCAGATGATCACAAATGATTCCTAATGATTTCTGGTAGGGCTGTCTATACTTGTCCAAAAGGAGAACCTGGACCCAGAAGCGTTAAGTGTTGACAGATGATTATAATATTCCATGTTTATACTACAGTAACTTAACAAGCCCCAGGTTTAAACTCCCTAATAACTAGATATGTCACTCTGTTTTACATGGTAGGGAGCTGAAAACTTCTCTCACCAGTGCTCCTATTTTAAATACCTGATCATACCACAGGACTGTATCCAAACCCCCAGCTGTTGGACAACGAATGCACTTGAACACGTGTGCAGCCAACTCCTGTATTGACTGAAAAACTGATTAGATAATAGAAATTGCAGTACCTTGGGAACTGGGTGAGCCGGAGAAACTGTGGCTGGCAAAACTATACTATAAGCAGTATTTCTTTGTCCCTGAAAAAAGAAGCATCTTCGTTGTTGATTGCTTGACTGCCTGTGCAGGTAGACACGATTGCACGAAGAAAAAATTCTGTGGCAGCCAGTCACGGAACCTGTTAACAGATTAAGTTAAAATTGGTTAACATTTTTTTCCTACTACTATGGTATAAAATGTAAGTATGAAAGAAGAAAGACACCATGTAATAGAAATTGCAAAACACATGCAGCAGCCATAGGTAGTTCAAGAAGTTGTTAAAATCTTGTACCATTAGGGCATTAACACCAAGAAGCAATGAGAACAAAAAACCTCCCAAAGCAATACATCACAGCTTTACAAAGCACTATATCTAATTTGGTTTGATGCATTAAAAAGCAGTGTGGATAAGTTCCCCAAACCAGGACTGACACCCCAACCTGTTTGTAGCAATTTGCATGGCTGGGAGGGGCACTGCACAAGGCTTGGGGAAAGGGTAAATAAGGCACAACAGCAAGTAATCAAGAGAGAAAAAAATAATTTTGTGTTTATTTCAGACATTTTGATCTGTATTCTTGATGAATTGGTGACATATTTGAGCATAAGCATGTTAACATTGCTCTCGTCATTTGCATGAAGATTCAAAAAACGGGGTTCAATCTGGAGTCACCTCCCGCCTGGCAGGGAACAAAACAAACATCGAGAGATTTTTAAACTTGGCCAAGGGCAATTGAGGGAATTGAAGTTTGTAATCGACTTGGAATATTTGAATCAGATTTCTACGTAATTCATATGGGAATTTGGAATGATAGTTCCTCAGAGTATTCATTGCCCAAACAAGCATGAAAACAGGGAAGTACACTAAATTTGAGAGGATTCTTTACACTGCCCAGCTAAACACTGATAAAATATAGCACATTTTTTTCAATGCATAAAAATTCTATAATGTAAATTTGTTTATTTATTTATTTTAATTACCTTAGAATAAATTCCACATAATAGTTAAGCTACTTTTGAAAAAGATCATATGTAGACAAATACATGAGCAATCTTCTCTGGCAAGTAACCAATATTAATAATTACTCTTTAGTAAAATAAAGTGGCTTTGTTTAGATGGAAGTAAATAAACTTTTCTTCACAGAATTTAAGAAATTCATCTACTGCATATTTTAACTACGTAAAGATGATTTCTAAAAGAGTTTCTTCCATAATTTGTACATTTTTATTTTACTGTAAACTTCCTTCCTTTCTTTGGATACATTTATCATGTCCAGATGCAAATAATATCATTCCACACGCATGCTGGGCTTACAGATGTCCCTTTTACAACATCCCATGATATACAGATTTGAACTACAAAATTCTTTTGGAGCCCCAAGAAACTGAATGCAGTTGTTGAGTGAGGTTTGTTTCAGAAGGGTTTGTGACTGTCTCTTTGCACACCGAGCGGTGGTAAGTTTGGCTTACAGAATCTTAATTTGTGCAACACCTGAGAGGTTGTAGAGACTTTTAGTCAATGCAAGAAGATTTTTACTGTTGTTTTAACTTGTTTATAAGTAATGAGGTGGAGTTGGTGGGAGAGGCTCTGATCTAGCTCCCAGTATAACCTGGGTACCTATGGAAAGTTGCCTACTTCCAGAGGGAAGAGAGTGCCTGCGTGGAGCTGGAGCTGTGCCCTTAACAGGGGGCTAGATTGGTTTGAGGCTGTGTAAATAACCACCTAATCATTAGCCTCTTCACATACGACTTTCCTAGGGTCATCTTCACAAGAAAAGATTCTTGTCCAGTTTAAAAAAATAAACTCTAGGCCATCTACCATACAGAGCACAGACACTCATCCACAGAGCCTGAAGCATCTTGCAAACTCGCCAGCCAGTTTGCACACATTTCTGGAAGCTAGAAACACAGAATCTGCAGAGGCAGCAACTTCTGGCTCCTCAGAAGTAGCGCTCTACTTTTACAAAGAGCAGCAGAAGTACCTGGCTCTTACCGCGGCTGAACGTATTTACACTCAGCTCCATATGGCTGCGATAAACGCACTGAAACCCCACAGTCAGGGACACGGTCAGCTGAAGTCCACACAGACATCACTACGTGACCGTGTGTTTCAAACGCTCTCCCTGATGATCGGCACGCTGCCGCTGCACCTGTCCTACCACTGCAATTTTAATTGGTGGAAAAAAAGGTGCAAGTGCGCCTGTCAATTACTCTACAATAGAACTTCAAATGTCCCAAATACGTGATCTCAGATGCATCAAACCTATTTAGATCCGTGTGTGTGCGCCTATCGACTATCCCGCATTCAAGAAGGGATGCCTTTTTATTTAGAATAAAATTTTTACCTCTGTTCCCCCAAAGACACACTGTAAGTGTTGTCACAAGATAACAGGATAATAAGGTAGCGTAGCCTGTTGTTATACCACTAACTACTCATTATAAACCAGACACACACAAAATATCTCCTACTCGAACAGGTGAAATGCGACAACCAAATAAATATCACTATAGTATAATCTGACTCCTATAGCACATCGTAAGAATTACAAACACAGGACAACTAAAGCTTTATTTGAAATATAAAAAAAATTATAAGAGAAAACATTCTCCTTCAAAGTAAAAATAAAATGGCATTAAAACATAATGAAGTTACTGTTTTATAATGAAAATCTGGACTCCATCCACACACTTCCTTCCTTAAGAAGGCCTTCCTAATGTCTCCACAGCTTCTTCTATTTTTTAAGCTTCCATATTCACAGCTAATTTGATATAGCAACATCATCAATCACCGGAGACAGGAACAACTGGCTGTAAGCTCCAAGTCTTGCTCAGATTGCTGGGGCTTGCTCCCCAGCCCTTCCAGCCAGCACAGCTTTTGTCAGCATCCGATTCACTTCCACAACACCGACGCTCAAGCGCATCCTTTTTGTTACGCTTTCTGTGTATATTAATTACAACGAGATGGCTCATAAAGGCAGGATTTATGCGGCTTCCAGTGGAATTGCAGCCATCAGAGAGCCGGGTAGCCCCGTAACACACACCAGCGCAGGCAGGATGCAAAGCTGCCCATCTGCGCCTTTCTTCTCTCCCTCAACAGCAAGGCCATGCCACTTGCCATGAATAACAGAATATTTACTAGCAACCGCAATAATGAAAATTATTATCGGTGTTACTGAAATTACATCAGCAGATACGATGCTCCGAGCGCAGAAAATTACAGACAACTGCTCCCCTGACTCCATGGTGAATCACCCTGTGCAGTCTGCATGCACGCGCCTTCTGCTGGAGCTGCTGGATTCCTCAGCACACCTTCTATGCTTTAATTTGTATTAATAATATAAATATGCACTGCGAGCTTTTGTGAATTGCCAGATGGATTTATCTTTTGTGGAAATTACATTTTCTTTTCCTTTTAAATGAGCCAGCCAAAGGGGCTGAATACAGAATTTGAGTATGATGATGGGTGGGAGCATTTTAAGTGACTGATTTTGCAGCACAAATGTGCCCTATATTTATTAGCCTTTTACTCTAGGTCTATTTTAATTGTTATCTGTTCATGCATGCTACACTATATAATGAAATGCTCCCATTTCACTCTCAGAGCAGAGAGTTTTTTATGTGTATCTCTATTAATGACCCTTAATTAAGTTGATTTTAGTCATTTAAATGTGATTTTCCTCTGGTCAAGAAGTATTTTTAAAGAGAGATGTTGGAAATGAACTCTCATTTAAGCACTTTTCTTAATGCTTTTTGTTCAACAGTTACAGCAATTTACCAGCTATGTTTTCAATGAGGTACGAGGTGGCCATGCAAAAAACTGTTCATCTACGTGAATCATCATATGTGATTGTTAGCAAACAATTTTTTGGTATTTATTTATGATGGACTTCAAATTTACAAACAATTAGCAAAAATGTTACTACAGGCTAAAGTTCATGACAGTTCTAAGCCACAACAAGCACGAGTACATGGTAAAACAGCCAAAAAAATAAAATTTGAATATTTTAAAACAATTTACATCACAAAATCCATCAAAGTGTCTACAGAAGCACAGTAGTGACATTATTTAGGATTACAAGAATTAATACCTAATTGATTTAGTAAATAAAACTAACTTGCTCTCGTTAAAGTGAATCTTACTTAATATATATGAACAATTAATAACATCAAAAGCATTGTTCAGATAACTAATTTTTAAAAATGTAATTTTATCTATTTTATAAACTGTAAAATAATGACCAAGGAGATGTTCTTAGTATATGGATATTTGAGGAAAAAGAGGATAAAATACTAGAGATCCTTAATTTGGCTTGCCGGGTCATCTTATTATCATATCATAATTTTGCATCTTGTGAATTTTCCTTTTTTTTTTTTTTTTTTTTTTTTTTTTTTCCTGAAACTTCAGAGCAATGAAGTTTACAGTAAGGAACTAAAAACACAATAGGCAATAATATATGGAATCCAACCAATGCAACTAGGTAAGATTTTATACAGTTTTTTACTGTTAATTACTTAACGCTCACATTTTTCAATCTGAAACAATGGTTGTGGTTTTGTAGATCTTTATTTGTTACTGTAATTACAGCTGTCTTAATAAAACACTGACTTTGTAATCCCAGTGTTTCAGGGGTATATATAAGCTTCAAAAATAGAATGGGAAAGATTAAAGGTTCTCTCCAACTCTGTGTAACCTGTGTAACAGAAGAGTAGCTCACATTTCACAAGCAATAACCTGTGCATTTTCTAAAAAAAAAAAAAAAAAAAAAAAGAAGAAGAAGAAGAAGAAAAAGAACAACATAGGGAAATGCCTCAGGCAGAAGTTGAAACTGATTGGGCAAAGTAGAAGGACAAGAGCCCTTGAAATTAAACAAAAGCAAATTCATTCTGTTGACAGATGTTGATTACATCAAAGCCGCGAAAGAACTTTTTTCTTTTTCTTTTTTCCCCTTTTTTGCAACTAATACCTCTGCATTCTCTATACATTAAGGATATAACATATCTTAATCAACACAACCCAACATGTAATAATTTTTAAATTTGGTCAAAGTATATTGTAACAAGGTCTTAACGACAGGCTTCTCTAAACAAGAGTGTATTCACATGGTCATGTCTGCATACCCGTGCTGGTCACGCCATCATCAG